GAAACTGCTTTGACGTCCCACTAATTTAGAAATGCACAGATCCAGGTATCAAGAATTACCACAGAAAATTCTTACGCATTGTAAATTACACAATTTTTTTTGGAGTGTTTAGATTAAAGACGCAAGAAAAGTCATAAGCAACAAGCGGAAGGTCTAACGAACACGATAGGTATAAGAAAGCTTCACATCCGCCTTCCTTGAATTCCGTTTCAAAAAATCTCTATTAAGTAGTTTGAAGTTATTGAGACCTAGATCGGGTGATTAGCATAAACGGCTTGTACAAAGAATCGACGAACAAAGAACCACCAAGCTGGCGCCATCATGAATAGTTTAAAAACAAGAAGCGGAAGAATGAGACGCTCTTTTTTCAGACCTCGTAAAGGACTAATTGGTTGCTACTTCATTTCCTCTGCGTTTCCATGTTTTATTCTTATTTACTATCTAATTTGATCTCCTAAATTTCAACTCAAGGTAGAAGAAATTTTTCAGTTTTTATGTGTCTAACATTTTGATAATATTCCCGATTTTTTGTTGTGGTAAACTATTTTGATGTCTGTCTCTCATTAATTTTTTTTCTCTCTATGGTTGTCTTTAATTCCTTTCTTCTCCCAACGGTCTCTCTATTCCGCGATTACCATTCCACAACTTCTTGGGCTATAAATAATAATAATAATGAAGTATGATAAATTAATTGAAAGTATTGTAATTGAGAGCGCGGTTATATATAAGCAATAATTTACAAAATCTTTAAGTCGCGACCAAGACAGGATTTTCTTCACCTCGTTTGCAAGGAAAAATCAGTATTTCAAAAATTAATCTAATGAGACTCAGTAATAAGCCTAAAATTACCTCATTATCTTAATTCGCATGTACAAACATAACATGACGATGTGCAAAATTAGCAACTCATTTCCTAATTCCCAATTCGAAGCGCGTTGTGCAGTAAGAATTGCTTTTTTACAAAGATAACATTTTAATGGTGTTGCTAAGCATTTTAACAAAATCTTATTTGTGATTCTTTTCTTTTGCCATACTGTTACCACTGGGTTATCTTCTCTGATGACTACTTTTTGGGGAA